CATATCTTGAAATTATCTCCGTAGAATTTCATCAACTTCTCATTTTGTTTATCTACCACTGTCGATTAACTCACATTTAGATTTGAATTTTGAATTGGTACCACCATCTTAGCATCCATGTTGGATAAACTGGTGGAGTTTCCTATCTCCATTTTCTGTAAAAGAAATGGAACCGGAATTAGAAATAATTCCAATAAATAGAAAATTAATTCTCATTTATTTTAGATTTTGTTATCGGACATAATCAATATTCTGAAACAAAATCAGTAACCACAATTACTTTCACGACAATTTATGTTATACAAATTTATCCACATTGAGATTCTAATAACCCCGTTAAGACGAAAGGATAAATCTCGAAACAAATTTGTTTACTATCATATTTTTCCACAATTCTGAATTATCTCGGATCAAAAAAGGTAGAAGATAAGAAGTTTGTCTCAAGATTGTTATGCAAAATAACAATCCGAGACGAAATTCGAACCTGAGAAAAATTAAAAATGAAGAAATCAAATTCTTTAAAAATATAAAGAGAACTAAAACGGAAATAAAAATCCTCTTTTTATATTTGATTTTGAGATTAGAATCAACCGAGGCATGTCGCTACATAATTTCCTTAGGACAGATTTTCGTCCATTCCTTGGTGCTCAAGATCTTTTGGTCGTCTGTCTCGTAGGATACAACAAGTTGATAATCAGCTACAATAGAACAACAATAGAGATCGCGAACTATCTTTACCTTCGACTATCACCAGAAAACTATGAAGGATTAAGAATATTTTTTGAGAATGAGAGAAAATATTTTTTCAAGAAAATAAAATTTCTTAAATTCCGAGATATGAAAAACCTAACAAGTTTGCTCTATAGGGGATTTTCAAGAGAGTTTTACTCATATAAATTTAAACAGATAATAATATCTTTTAAATAAAGATTTTAAACATATATACACTCTTTTTATTATTCAAACCTAAACAAATATTATTTTAACTTAAAATATTCAAAAGTATATAATTATATTTAGTATTCAAAGTTGAAAAAATAATAAATGCATTTTTAAATTGACATATTCAAATAGTAATTATTTACTAATTGTAACAACCCGAATATTTACAAAATAATATTTAATTGAAATTGGACGTTAATTGTGAAAAATTGGTGAAATTTAATGACTGAACTAAAATTTATGAAAAGTTATAGGCCATTTTATAAGTTGAAGGAAATTCAGGGACCAAGCCCTGAATTCCTCCAAGGAGTGTCGGCAGGCTTATAATTAAAGCGTGGTTTCTGATTGTAAATCAGAAAACACAATTGAGAATTTGCTCAATTTTCCTTCTCTCGTACCCTTACTTCCAAGCCCGATTCCGACGCCGTTCGACGTCCAATCGTAAAATTGAAACCACCGTCGTGTTCATCTTCAACCATTAAACAAAACCCAGTAAATCAATTATAGCGAAACGCTGCCAAACGTCGGGAATTTACAGTCAAAGCATCGACGTTTTTTTTAGCTCTATCGCCGGGAAAATCTTAAATTCACCGCCGATCGTTGCTCTGTTTACGACACCTCCTGCACCATCGTATTCCTTGTGTCGTTGCGAGTCCGCCGGTGTCAACCTTGTTCGCCGTTGACGGTGGCGCGTGAGGAGGTGGAGTAGTCAAAGATTCGGCCGAGTTGGAATACGAGCTCTCCGCCGTTCAAAAATTTGAACCGATCGTTGTAAGTATCTCGAAATCGCTCAAAATAATTTTTAGAAATTTTTCCGGGAATTTTCCGACACCGTGGCACTGTTCACGCGCCGCACGCGCCACCGCATGGAGAGTGAGCTGCTGGAAAACCGGTTTGACCAGTTTTGAACCGGTTTGACCGGTCTGGACCGGTTTGACCGGTCTGACCCGACCCGTCTGACCCGACCCGACTGTTGACCCGACCCGACCGTTGACCCGACCCGACCGTTGACCGTTGACCGTTGACTTTCTTTGACCAAAACTTAAAATGTCTTTGACCGAGCATTAAACGACCGTTAATCTTTTCTGAGTATACCTATCCTGATAGTTTTCGACGTGCCGAATCCGTTTCCGCTGTCCGTTTTGTCAAATTCGAACCCTAAGGCCTCCGAATCGACGGTCAAAGTGGTTGACTTTGACTTTGACCAAGAATCTGAATTTTTGAAAAGTCAAACTTTATGTTTTTCGACGTCCTGATTCCGATTCCGCAATCCGTTTGGCCAAATTCAGACTCGAAATACCCCAAAATGATAGTCAAACCCAAAAAATGCTTATATACTTAAGAATTCTAGTTTTGAACAATTAATTAAGATTTGGGGCTGATAGATTATTATTGTTTGAAGGTACAAGAGAATCTCCGGATCGTTCGACAGCTCGACCCAGCTCTTCTAGATCAGTTAAACCACGTGTGCCAGTATTCACCCGTTCGAAAATTGTAGCAGAGCGTGGTGAAACCAGCAATCAGTAAATTTGCTATTTGAACCTATTGTCGAGGTGTGTTCCCTACTTATTATTGAACTGTTTTATTGGTTTTAATATGTGGTACACCGAATTCATTGGTTATTGTTTTATGGATGCACCAATTTAATGTGACAATTTATGGAATATGGCTGCTATCTAATTTTTGTTTTGAAATGGTATATGATTACCATGTTTTTGGATTTATGGAATTTATGTCACGGTGCAATTGAATTTTGGAATTGAATTACGATGGAATAGCTCTGATCAAGCTAACTGGGCCTAATGTGACTCTTGAGGGCCCCAAGATGTTTCATTAGGTCGGCTTTCCTTTGCTGTGTGCTTAGGGTAAGCTATATGGACTTATTGACTTGGGCTTAAGGATACAAGCTTCAGAGCCTATCCTTAAGTCGGCTTTCTTTTTGCTATGTGCATAAAGTAAGCTATATGGAAAATAATTTTGGGAACTACTGATGGTGTACCGGAAAAGGGTTTAAACTATGATTTGCAAAAGTTAAACTCTTTTACGAATTTATGAGATTACTGGACTATGATTTGTACCTATTGTGATTTTATGGAAATGTTGGGACACACTGAGCCTAGTTCACCTTTCGAAAATGTTTTCCCCTTTCAGATACCGTTGGTTAGATACCTCGGTTCGAGCACTTGGAGGATCAACATATCTCTTGAAGTATATCTGATTGTAATGTTTTTACCTTGCAAGTTGACTTTATTTTGTTGACATGGACCTTATTTTAAAGTATGGGATTTTAATATGATGACACTTTTGCTATTACTATTCGGTTTATCGTGATTTGATTTTTAAGATATGTTTTAAATTAATTTATTACCTATTGGTATTATATTTACAAGTTGGGTTTTGATAGTATGATTTATTATAATTTCATGTCATTTATAATGTGATTTTACATTGATTTAATAACGGTTTCGAAAAAAATGTCTTTAAGAATCATAATGTGATCCACTAGACTTAGTCGAAACGCATAGGCAGGGTCTAGGGGGTTACACTAATATTCAAATTAAATAATATCTTTCAATTTACAATATTTAAAATCACTCAGAATTTAATATAAATATTAAATCCATCGAAGACAATTCACCCTTTTTCCAACCATGTGGGCTATAAGGGATATGACAATTGGTAGGAATGGGCATGGTTCAAGTTATGTCGGATTTTCGGTCCACCCGACCTGAAAATTTTAAATCCTCCATTGAACTGAAAAATATACCCCTTCCACCCAACCCGATTTTTTTGAGATAAAATCTGAACTCGACCCGAAATAATATTTTTATTAAAAAATTATTTTTATTCAATTAAAATAGGGATTTAATTAAAAGAAAATAATAAATAGATGAGTATTATTGTAATTATCTCGGATTGAGTATTTTTCACCCTAAACTTGAACTTAACCGGACCCGAACATAACTTAAAAAAACAATTCAACCTAACCCTAATCTAATTTTTTATAAAAAAAATCTGATTCGATCAAGTCGAGTCGAAACCCATCGGATCTGGGTCACATGCCCACCCCTAACAATTGGTGCAAAGATTTTGACTATTTATTTTGGATCAAAGGGACGAGCTTAAGGAGCAAGGAGTTCATTTTGGTCATAACAAGATTAGAACATTAATTGCACTCACAGCTAATATAGAATACATTAATTGATTACCTTGGCAAGCAAGGAACTTTGTGTTACACCCCTGCTGTTTTTTTTTAATAAAGTCAATATTCCCCGTTTTCTGACTCCCTGTCAGTTTTGTTGGACATCTAACACTATCCACTAGAAATTGATTTCTTGTTTCCCTTAAGATTTTAAAAGAGTCAAGTTATGATGCTTTCCGTCCCTCAATTATGTTCAAATTTTGGGTCTAGTCCTTTATTATGTATAATTAGATGTAATTCCTTTCAAATACTAGATGGATTAATTACCTCCTTTAATATAGTATAATTCGGCCTCTTTACTTTTATATTCTCATCGGTTAGTCCAACTAATTAATATCATCGGCTATTTCAGTTAAAATGTTATTATAAAATAAAGAGACCATAAAAGTCTTAAGAATTAAAAAAAATTGATATGGAGTAAATATAAGATAATAAATATTTAAAAGAATCTCAATCATTTGACAATGAAAGTTCAATTTCCCTACAAATGTTATGTTCGAACTTGACTCGAGATAAAATAATAATCAATGATGTCACTGAATTCGTGCTATAAAAAGTTCAAATTTAAATATAGGGACAAATCCCAGAATTTGACCTTTGAAAAAAATCACAAAAGTTTGAACTCCAAAACCTTTCATGTCATGAGACTGCGTATAATAAACCCAAACAAGAAAGAAATGTTTAATGGCTGATCCATCACCATTTACATATTCGAACCCATAAGAGAATTAACGAGGCCTCAAATCACAGCCCATTCGATTCGATGTTTTCTCTCCCTTTTCCTCCTCCTTTCCTTCAATGAAAAAACCCTATAGCTAAGCTCGCTTACATTTCCGGGGGGGGGGGGGGGGGGACAATGGCAGCTACTCTTTTAAACAAAGCCTTAAAACCCATAAAACATCCGAGCTTCCTTTCATCTCTGCGCTCTCTTAATTTCACTTCTCTCGCCACCAACCCCTCCGACGGCGGCTCAACTTCATCGCCCTTCACGTTCGACAACAAAGAGAAAGACAATGATAGCATATATTTAAAGCCATCGACTTCGAATGCGACCCCCGAAAAGAAAACGACGTCGGTGACTACGCCGATATCGTTCATGACTGGATCGATAGTTGGGAAGAGATTCTATAAGAAAGTTACTACGAGAGAGTCCGACGATGGGATTGGGTGGACGGTGATGCTTGATTATCGGACTCTTAAAACCCCTTCCAAACGCCCTCTCAAGCTGCCCACTTTGGCCCTTGCTAAGGCCATTGCTGCTGAATGGGAATATCAGGTACGCTATTTTCTTTTACTATGATTCTTCGTTTCATTTTATAAAAATTTGGGTTTTTCTTGCTGAGATTGAACGTTAATGGTTACTTTTGTGCTTAGGGCGTGCAAAATTCGATCGAAATTTTGATCTTTTCGATTGAAGAAAACTCACTCAAATTGATTTCGAGATCTCGAGTTGAGATATAAAATAAAAACTCGAATAGTAATAAAAAAAATTAGTAATTATATATTGATTTTCAAAATTTAGGGTGAAGATTATATATATATATATATATATATATATATATTAAAAAACATGAAGATATATATATGTTTTCTATATTGTTATAGAAAATCATTTAAATTTGAATCAAATAGCATCATAATGTTATAAAAAATTACAATTAAAATTTAACAAAAATTTGACTCATAAAAATTTTCAAATTAAGTTTATTAAATAGGAATCTACAATTCAAATCATTCGAAATATTTTTACTAGACTCAATTCAACGCACACCCCAACTTGTTTGAATTGGTTATGGTTTAATTAATGTTACTTTAGAAAGTGGATAAGATGAATCCAAATGATTTAGTCTGTGTTTTAGTTCATTAGTTCATTCACCATCTTAAGTCCAATTGAACTCGATAATAAACTAATTAGATGTTGATCATTTTTAGCAAACAGATGGAATCAGACCCTTTACAATGCCATTGATGAAACTTGCTTGCACTGCGCTGGAGAGAGTGCCGCTCACACGCACAAAGGTCATCGAACATCTGATGAAGAAATTTGATCAAGATTTAGTGTTCTGTCGTGCACCTGAGGATAACACCTTGAATGCTGGTGTACATGGTGTGCGAGGCATATTCATCGTTATGTTTGCTTCAGTCTAAAAACCAAAATGCGATAATATTCATCATTATGGCTTTTTTTCTTTTACAGCAAGGCAAGTTGAGAAAGTTAATCCTTTACTTGCTTGGTTGAATTCTGAATTCGGCTTTAAACCTATTGTGTACTCCAGTTTTTTGGTGGGAAGCAAGGTGAAGGGCTCACAAAGGCTGTTGAAAACCTTCTAAAGAAGACAGATGACTGTGAATTGGCAGCAATAGATGCCCTTGCAGCCGCCGCACATTCATTGGTTATTGCTTTAGGAATTTTTCGAGGTAAATTGCAGATTGAGGAAGCGATTGAGTTGATTAGGCTCGAGGAAGATTTGCAGGTTCTTTTCGATTTCGTAAATCTCTTTGCAAACACTTGCGTAGGCCTTTATATATTATTAAACTTGTAACATGAGACTTCTCTTGTATATTTATAGGTGGGTAAATGGGGTTTAGTTGAAGGTGGGCACGACATCGACATTGCTGACCTGAAGGTGCAAATCGCATCAGCAACCGTGTTCCTTGGTCTTTCAAGGAAGAACTCGTTATTTGATTGAGGGGATGTCGAGGCTACGAAAGTTTTCTGCTGCTATAAGTTCATCTCTCCTAATTTGATACTTGCCGAGTGTTGTAAGATTGATGATTTTATTGATAAATGAATAAATGAATATGAAATGAGTTCAAGCGCCTTTCATCAACTTCGAACTTGTGGAAGATCCATGAAACTGGGCCACTTTCAATGAGGGAAGATCCCCAATGTACAACATCAATCCATTTTGGTGACCATGCTTTGCAGAAGCTGATGTCTCTTCTTTGCAGCAATAGCTGCAAATTGGTGTCAATGTCACAATTACAACAAGCTGTATCACAACCACTGTTGAAAACAAGTCAATATCCTCCTTAAAAAATATGTTTGATAAAATTGCCTCTGCTTATGAACTCCATAATCTCTTTCTCTTGCTGATGTGTGATCCATGTTCACTTTTTCAAGGTGTGACATTCTCTCCCAATTCAATTTCATTTCGGCCATTGTCAGGGATGCCCATCTTGTCTTACCCGCTTATTGAAGCGCTCGATATGATATCTAACAGTCAAAAGATTGCTCTAATAACACCTTTCATAAGTCCCATTGTCATCTTCCCAAAAGACATTCTTATGAATAACTTAAAAAGTGTAATGGTAACATACTTTGGTGGCTCAAAGCCTTGAGCTTCCATGGAAACTGAAAAGCCAATTGATGGTTATTATATAGATTGAATGCAACAAACAAAAATAAGGATCAATCGATTCAAAAATTAACACTTGAACAACAATTTTAAGTACAATTGTGAGGGAGAATACAATTATTGGCATATCTGACTCAAAGCAAAATGTTCATAGAGTCCTCACAAAGCAACTCAGATTAACTGGTTTTACATTCATATCTTATTTCTGAAGTTGGAGAGTTTAACCAGTAAGCTGAAGCTGCTTGATGTGTTGGATCTGCTTTCCGGGGTTCAGCCCCTTTGGACAAGCACGAGCACAATTCAATATCGTATGGCAACGATACAGCTTAAACTCGTCATTCACGGCGTCCAACCTCTCCTTTGTGTATTCATCACGGCTATCGCTAATCCATCTGCATATTTAATAAGAGCATGATTCACAAACTTTGTACCACTCAAAAGGTGATGATTTTACATTCTCTACACAGCCTCTAAACAGGAAAAACTAACGGTAAAGAACTAACAAAATCAGTAAGAGAGAGAACAGAGATCAATAGGCAAAAAACAATGATTGACAGGTTCAATTATAAGTTTAATGGCAAAGGATTATGTACAAAGGTTGGATGAACAAAACATCACAAATGGCAGCAGGCAGTTGAATTGATACTTGATAGCTCATCAACAACTGAAACATTCTAATACTGTAGTGTAGCAACTAGAATGTTTAAAGCAATGGCCTTTGCAATGTCACAATCAAATTCATTAAACATTTTGATTAGTAGAGTTGAAAAATGATTAGATTTTAAAAAAATAAAAATAAATAAGTAACCAGGATACTAAAGTGAATATCAAATACAACCCTTAATCACAAACGAGTAACTAGCACAAACTTAAAACATAGGTAACAATTTGTATATTCAATAATCACTCCCGATTAGTCTGGAGTGAAAATAAGGTAGTATGTGTTCAAAGACTCGACTATTTGACAATGAATATATACCCCTGCATAAGCGGTGCTCAAACCTATGATCTCAAGGGAAAACAACAATCCCTTAACCACAAAGGAAAACAACACACAGTATGCCCCAAGAAGAAAAACATCATTCGTTCATTCATTTAAACAATTGAGCATTCAATTATCAAACATACATTGATATCCAACACGCAGGAGAGGTAACTTTTTCCTTATACAGGAGAGACCATTAACCATGATAAACATTCTTAGCAAACTAGAAGCAAGGAAGCACGGGGACGGCAAACTTGTGCCGTTTCACGTGCCCGATACGTCCCCGGTACGGGGATGACACGGGGACGGCTAGGGTACGTACCGGGGACGTGCCACGGTGGCAGGGTACGGCTGAACGACGCCGGGGACGTTTCACCAAGTCTTGGGGACGTTTCAGGAACGGCATTTTCAACTTTTTCGACGTCGGAGGAGGTGGTGTCGAGGCTGTTGTTTGACTTGGCTATTTCGGCTAAAAAACCAACTTTACAGAGAGGGAGGAAAGCAACCTTCAACTCCAAACTTTTGTTTGATAAAATCAGTGAAGAAAGAGGGGAAGCTTCAGAAGCAAAAAACGCAACCCAAGCTCTCTTTTAAAAACTTTTGAAAACAAGTAAAAGCCAAGCTGATATCTTCTGAAGCTGATATATTTACTGATTTTCGACTTAATATTGTTGTTTGAGTCTTGATATTTGACATTATTTATGATTTTTTATATATATTTATAATTTTAAAATTATTTTATATGCCATACCCTTGCCGTCCCCGTACCCTGTAATTTTCAAAATTACCGTTTCCAGTTCCCGTCCCCGTATCCGTGCAACATAGACTAGAAGTCCCAAGAGAGTCCTAAAACTTAAATGTTAGCATAATCAATACAAGCCGAAATACTAACTTTAATGAATATATCAGAGAACCCCAAATTTGAAAGGATTAATGTGAATTGCAAGAAGCATTATCCAAATATAGCTAGCAAAGAGTGAAATAAATAAATCCTCCTTTTTCAGTTACCAACCAAATAGATACCAAATTAAGCCAAAAGAACACATGAACATCATCATATTAAAAAAACAATTTATGTGTTGTCTATCAGCCACTGAAGATAAATTCTAGACCCGATTCACAAAAACCATCATCATCAACAACAACTTAACAAATAAAACCCAGAATTAAATAATTGGTTTGATTACCTGTTAGCGTGGAGCAAAGCAGCAGGACCCAGATACGACTCAGGATTCCACCAATAACTGGGACAGCTGGTGCTACAACAAGCACACAAAATACACTCATACATCCCATCCAGCTTAGCTCTATCCTTTTTACTTTGTGGGATCTCTTTCCCCGCCGTCGGCGGCGGATTCTTCCTCTTCAGCCACGGCTCAATACTCTTATACTGATTATAAAAGTTGGTCATATCAACCACCAGATCTTTAATCACAAACATATGTGGCAGAGGGGTAATGGTCGTCTCCGAAGATCCCGATTCGATCTTGGTCAGACAAGCTAAGCCGTTACAGCCGTTGATGTTCATTGCACAAGAGCCGCAGATTCCTTCACGGCAGGAGCGGCGGAAGGTGAGCGACGGGTCGATCTCGTTCTTGATCTTGATGAGGGCGTCCAGAACCATGGGCCCGCACTCTTTCAGGTCGATTTTGTAGTCTTGGAGCTGGGGTTTGGCAGGGTCATCCGGATTCCATCGGTAGATTTGGAAGGTTTTCATGTTGGTGGAGGCGGCGGCTTTTGGTTCCACCTTTTGAGCGTCCGCCTCGCCAGCGTACGGTCTAATCACCGCCAACCTCGACGCCGGATTCACCGTCGATGAAGAGAGTCGAGACGTGGCATTCATCGCCCGTCGAATCAAACTGGTCGCCATGGATTTATGATAATACAAAATCCAGAAACGAAAAACAATGCAAGAAAAAGGAGTAAAATTTAGGGGATTTATATTAAATAAAATGACGGAAATAGACTATAAATAATGGGTTCAATCCACCAAACTGTTTATAATTTAAGGGTAAATTATATTTAATCACTCAACTATTTTTCCTACACCACTTTTAGTCACTAATATTTAAAATATTTCAATTTCATCATTCAACTTGTAGATTGCTCCTATTTTAATCTCTCTAAATTATCTTATTAATATTTTCTATGATGTATTATTATTATTATTATTATTATTATTATTATTATTATTATTATTATTATTATTATTGTCACATAAGATCAGAATATAAATAAATAAAATTAAAGGCTCAAATTATACCTCAAACCTTAACCCTACACTTCAAATAACAACTCCTAAACGGTAAATTACAACCCCTAAACTCTAAACTCAAACTCCATATTCCAAATAACAACCTATAAATTCTAAATTACACACCCAAAACCCAACCTTGAATCCCATATCACAACACCCACATCCACCTTATAATGTAATTCCTGTCTTTTGGTGAATTTTGGTCACGTACTTGATGTGGTAAGATTTCAGACTCCAAAAATTCCTCTTGATATGTTCGATCCACACCTTATCTTCTTTTTATTTATGTAAGGAGACTTTTTATTAATTTAGAGTGATCACAAGTAATAATTATATTCTAAATATTTTAACTATTTAATAATAAATACTTAAATATCATATAATCATTGATGTTGAAAATCAAAATCTCTAAAATTAACAATCAGTCGTTTAACTAGTAGTTTGATTCTTACATGTGTAGAGCCTTTAAATATTACTTCAAATTTTGGCTTGAATATATTTCAAAAACACGGTATCAAATTATAAAAGTGCGTATTTAAGGAAATTTGTATTAAGTCCCTCAGTTGTTTTCATTTGTTTATTAAATCTCTTAAAATATTAGAAATTTTAAATTAGAATTTAATTTTTAATATATTTTAATATTCATAAAATTTTGAAAATTTTATTTAAACCCTTAATTGTTTTTTAATTCTCATTACATCACTTAATTTTTAAAGAAAATTATAATTAGACCTCAAATTGTTTTACCAAGATTTGTAATTGTTGGACGTGTTAAAGAATAGGCAGAATTAATAAAATTCAGGAAGACTATTTCATTTTTAAAATACTTTATATTCAAAATATTCATGAAGTAGGAGCACTCATATATCTAGAGATGGCAAACGGGTCATTCGGATCGAGTTTGGGTTTGATCGTTTCGGGTCGGGTCATTCCGAGTCTAGATTATATTTGGTTTAATTTTGTTCGGGTCGAATCGGATCTACGGTAACTCAAGTTAGGTCGGGTATCGAGTCGGGTGATTATTGGATCGGTTATTTTTCGGTTTGGATCAATATTGGATCGGTTGATTTTTGGGACGGGTCAATATTTGGTCAAGTCATTATCGGGTTGATTAATTTTTGGGTCGGGTTAATACTAGATCGATTAGATTTTGGGTCGGGTCAATATCAGATTTGTTGATTATCGGCTTTGGTTGACCTTTAGATCAGGACAATTAAGATTGAATTGGTTATGAGTCTAGTGAAGTATATATATAATTATTGATATATTATTGTAAAAAAATATGTATTTTTATTTGTTAATCTTATCATTTAGGCCTAATTTCAATTCTCAATCATTTAATATTTTGAATTAAGTCGTCATTTAAAGATTATAAATCGATAATTTAACACAAATATGATCTTATAATACGTGTTAGAGCTTGTTATCAAAATTTTATATCTATCTTGTATGGAAAGTTTATCTATTTGATAAAGAAATAATTTTTTATTAAAAATTTATTTTCAATTATAAACTTAATATTTTTATTAAATTAAAAAAAAATAATATATAACTTTATTTGTTAAGTTTTAGTCGTAACATAAGTAAACTTTTGTAGGCATTCATTTTCACCCGGAGTTATTTTTATATATATATATTTTATTATATATATATATATATGTATATAGTAATATAGTTTGTGAAAATATTTTTGAAAAAATATAATATATAATTTTTAGAAAACGATTTTCGAACATTTATATATTTTATAGTTTTTGAAAATATTTTTAAAATATATATAATATATAGTTTTGAAAACATTTATATATTATATAGTTTTTTAAAACATTTTGAAAATTTATATAATATATAGTTTTTAAAACATTTTGAAAACTTATATAGTATATAGTTTTTTAAAATATTTTTGAAAAATTATATAATATATAGTTTTAAAAACATTTTTGAAAAATTATATAATATATAGTTTTAAAATTTTTTTTGAAAAAATTATATAAAATATAGTTTTAAAAACATTTTTTGAAAACTTATATAATATTTTTAAAACATTTTGAAAACTATATAATATATAGTTTTGAAAACTTTTTTAAAATATAATATATAGTTTAAAAAATATTTTTGAAATATATATATATATATATTATATAATTTATATTATATTATTATTTATTTGTTTGTTTTATTTTTAAATTCATTTTTATGTTATTTTCCAGGTCCAATGCAGTCCAGTTTGGTGGAACGGGCTTGAACTAGTCTGAGGGAGTTTAGGGTTTGGGAACCCTAACATATCAACAGTGCCGCACAGGGAGCCAAACGGTCAAACAGCGCACCGACCGGCCGGGAAAACCAGGACTGCACCATCCCGGGATTCCCGGCTACGTGAACAACGTTAGTGCGAAGTACACGTGAACAACTCGTTATCATCGGAGCAGACCACCAGTGGGGTGGGTATAAATATCCTACCGCGGTGACATCAAGGGAGGACCATCAACAGTACCAAGTACCATCAACACAAAAAGCCAAACCATCATCGAGAACCTACGAGACAGTAAAACAGAGAGCCACAGAACCCACGACAACTCTCGAGCAAAATAACCAAACACAAGAAACCAACAGAGCCACAAACACCAAAGCGAAATACAACATAAATATCAAAGCGAAACACAAAGCACATCATACACCAACAAAAACGAGAAAAGCTAAAGGCTTCCTCTCATCAATAAGAGCGAAGAGCGGCACCAGAGAGGACGGAACCATCAGTAGACGAAGAACCATCCGATGAAATAGGGGTAAAAACTAAAGCCCTCTTTTCTAGATCTACGTCGGAGAAAGCAATTTTAGGAGGTTTTGGGTTCGGATCCGGGCTCTCGAGGGTAAGACGAGTGTTTTGGGTGTTTTGGGTTTGCTCGGTCACTGCCGACGACGGCCGACGTGGTGGCCGGCGCGGTGGAGAGGCCACCGGAGCGGGGGCCGGAAATCGCCAAGGGAGAGGAGGCGAGAGTGTTCTCTGGTTGAGAGAGATGAGAGCTTGGAGAGAATGTTAAGAATGAAGGGGAATATGGGTTTTTAGGTGTTTATATACCAAGGGCCAGTTTGCAAATAGCAGATTCTAAAATCCTCTCCACAATCCCTAGTATTTTGAATCAGTTTTATTTTAGTCACCATTTGTACTTTTAACCCCGAATTTACAATTCAATCAATTTGGTCCTACTTTATATTTTTTTTATCTTTGTGAATTGGCTCCTAACCTTTTACTTTTTTATTGCAGTCCATTTTAATGCCAATTTAACCCGTTAATTCCATTTTTTTAATTTGGTCCCCCTAAGTCTTATTTTATTTTATTGCTATTATTATTATTACTTTTTCCTTCATATTATTCTTTATTTTATTACTTTTAAACTTTACACATTTTATTTTTTTATTTTTTCCTTTTATTTTATTTTTTTATCTATCATATTTTTCTTTCCTCTTTGACTTATTTCTTTTTATTTATTTCTTTTTCACATATTAATTTTTTTCTCTCTTTTGACTTGTATTGTTTTCTGATTCATTTAATATTTGTTTATTGTTATTTTTTATCCAACATTTTCGATTTTTCTTTTAGAAGAATTTCAACCGATCAAAGGTAAGTAATTCCAATCGGGTAATTTTAATTTTAATTTTAATTTTCTAATTTTCGCTATAAAGACAACCGATAAATTAATTGGTACCGAAAGGGCGGTTCAAGGGTGCTAATCCTTCCTTGACCGTAACCGACTCCCGAGCCCGACACATTTATGGTAAAACGCAGATCAGGTAAGATGGTGTCCGACCCGCCTAAATTCGTTTTAAAATGGTCGGTGGCGATTCTAACCCAATTATCCAAGTCGAAGCCCAATTCTGGGTCCAACCGAAAGACGGTTCCGACAGCTTGGCGACTCTGCTGGGGACAAATAAGTGAGTCAGGCCAAAATTAATTTTCGGTTGTCTTTTTATGTAAAAATAGTAAATTTAAATTTAAATTTATTTATTTGATTATAATTATTTATCTTTGATTATTTTTCAAATATATAGTTGTACTAACGTTTTTTAATGATTTTAGATTTTTCAAAATTGTCATCTCTAGCTCTATTCCTGAGCTCCAAACCCTTGTAAGTGGGGGGCGAAAGCGACACCTTCGTGGGAATTTATTCTCCGTATGGGCCTAGCAAGTAACATTATGTCTTCGTGTGAATTTATTCTTCGTATGGGCATAAAGGAATGTATCCCCTCGAGTTTAACTTAGTCCACACAAGCTTGTAATGGGCTTAGGGCTAAGGGTCTGGCAAGCCCACGAGGGCACCAGCAAGGAGAACTCGGGTATCTTTTTTTTAGAACCTAAACTGGGAGATTACAGGGAATTAGAGCCCACCCCAAAACCTCATTGCAAACCCTAGGCTGCTTGTTTTTTTCTTCTTTACTTTCTGTTCAAATCATGCGAACTAGACAAATATGCAGTTTAGGATTTGTTTAAAATTAGCATGTGGGATAGAGATAATGTCCGAGTAGGAACAATAAGCATGTGGGGGTAGATATCATGTGGGATAGAATTTTTCATTTTTATTATTGTTTTGATTTACCTCACAAACTCTTTTTATTTTTGTTCTCTTTTATTTTGTTCTCATCATTCGCATCATTTA